TAGCAGCAAAAAAAATAGTTTATTTAATTAAGTTAACTGTGTAAGTAAAAAAAAAAAAAAAAAAAGATAAGGTATACTAAATGCAAATTAATGAAAACGTGCTAGGTCCAATTTTGTTTAAACCATGGGATTTTACTCACATTTTTTATTTCAGTGAAGCCAGCAAATGCTACTGAAATAATTCTAAATGAAATTATGACTCATCCCTTCTGGTCCTTGTGGGCCACCTGTATGGGCTTAGTAGAAAATCCTGCCAATTTTAGTCAGCCATGGCTCTAAACACCACAGTCCCCAACTTTCTCCTGAGTTGGGGTGGGAGGCTGCCTCACTCTCAACATATCTGTTTGGATCAACACACACATGATGTTTCTCTGGTTCCTCAGAACACGTCTCATGAGCACCACACGAAACTCTTTAGGAGGGGTACTACTTCAGAGCTGCGTGAGGGAAAGACTGAAGACGCAGTCTTTTATAAAAGTCACGTCAGTGAAGAACAAGAACACAAACATTAGATCAAAGACAGCAGATTTTGCTGAGGGTATGTTCTAATGTGACCTAAAGGAACTGGCTCAGTTTTCCTCTCTGAACCTAGCATGGGATTCCCATTATTTCAGGGGAAAAGAGAGATCAGAATAATGGAGATCAAATATTTCTTCAGTTTCACCATATTCTCAGAAGAGTCCTCTGACACAGTAATGGCAACAGCTCTTGATTTTTAAGAAACTACCTTCAACATTGGTTGCTGTCATCATTGCCATCGAGTCAATTTCAACTCACAGTGATCCTACAGGACAGAGCAGAACTGTCCCACAAAGTAGAACTGTCCCACAGGCTGTTCCAAGGCTATAAATCTTTTACGGAAGCCAACTGCCACATTTTCGATAGTGTGTAATAATCTGAGCTCATACTCCATTTCCCAAGTGTCTGAGCTTTCCTTAAACCACCGTTACGCACAAAGCACATGAATATGCTGAACAGCCTTTGTTGATGTAGTAAACAATCCAAGCTTTGATGTCTTTAGCCGGTGGCAAAAATACACTTAAAAAGTCTATTAATATTAAAGAAAAATGTTTCATCTAAAAATAGACTTGACCCACAAGTGAACAGTGATAAATAAGAGCCAAAATATAGACTCATTTCTTCTCATTATTTATACATCATAAAAGCAGAGATATTTTTATATCTCCATGGCAGTGGGTTTAGTTTACACATTTTAAATCTCTCTTATAAATACTACAGTTTCTATTTAACTCTCAAATTACTTTTACTAATTATTTTAAAACCTCATTTCAGTGATGTGTGTGTGTATTTATATATATATACATATATATACAAAAAAAAAAAAAAAAACCAAACCCATTGCTGTCAAGTCAATTCCAACTCACAGTGACGCTAACAGGACAGAGTAGAACTGCCCCATAGGGTTTCCAAGGAGCAGCTGGTGGATTTGAACTGCCAACATTTTGGAGCTCTTAACCATTGCATCACCAGGGCTCTCTCTCTCTCCATATATATATATATACATATATATACATATACACACACACACATTATTACATATACATATTCTTATTGTTAGCTGCCACTGAGTCGGCTCCCAACTCACGGAGACCCCATGTATTATGGAGTAAAACTGTTCCATAGGGTTTTCTTAGCTGTAATCTTTACAGAAGCATATATACAAAAAATTATATATATACAAAAATGGAGCTCTGGTTGCTTAGTGGTTAAGCACTTGGCTGCTAACCAGAGAGTAGGCAATTAGAACCCACAAGCCAATCCACAGGTGAAAGATGTAACAGTCTGCTCTTGTAAAGGTTATAGCCTTGGGAACCCTATGGGCAGTTCTACTCTTTCCTGTAGGGTCGCTATGAGTTGGAATCAACCTGATGGCACACAACAACAATATATACAAAACTATGTATATGTATACACAAACACACACACACACACACAATGGGAAACCAGTGATTACCCCCTGGCACCATTAGCAGAGAGGCTGAGCAGTAAGAATTGAATTCCAGTGTGCCTGGAGAGGGAAGAGTTTCAATTCCAACAGTGTATGAATGTATTTGGATGCTAAGAGTCCCGTTACATCCCGGGTGTACCTCCATCACTGCATTAAGCACATTTTATTGAAATCACCTGTTTACGTGTCTTTCTTCCTTACTAGACTATAAGCATTTCAAGGGCAAGGATCATGATATTCATTTGCATTCTGGCAATTAGCACCATGACTGCTCAAAAGTTAGGGCCAATATACATTATTGAACTAAACTACTGTGTTAACACAATAAATCTAACCCTCCCAAGGGAGGAAGACAGTTTACCTCTATAAATTACTGCAGTATAGTAATTTCTTCTAGCCCCAAAAGACTATCTTAGAACTCCATTATAACTGCTATGTATTATTAAAAAGAAATAAAATATGCTAAGAGTCAAAGTCTACCCGAACCTAACAACCACATAGTACAAAAGCTCAAATCCACAATGAAGGGCCTAAGTGAATTCTGAGACACCAGGGTTCTATTTACTGAGGGAGCTCAATGACTCTTTACCACATGGATTAACATAGTGAAGGCCTGCATGTTGCTATGATGATGAACAGGTTTCAATGGACTGAGACGGACTAAGAGGAAAGGGCTGGTGATCTACTTCCAAAAATCAGCCAATGAAAACCCTATGGATCACAACAGTCCTATCCCTTTGTGCATGGGGTCGCCATGAGTTGGGGTTGACTCTACAGCAGCTAACAATAACAACGAAGTGGCTTACCCACGAACCAAGGGAGCAATCTTAGGCCTGGTAATCTCTCTGGATCTCAGTAGTTTTTCTTTCTACCAATCAAATGGGAAAGTAAGTAATTCTCTAGGTTCTTTCTGGTTTGAAAGTTCTGTTGAATTTATAATGTACAACGGGTGTGTTTTAAATGCACCAACTCTATGCATATATAGCAAAGTTACCTTAGTACACTAATAAGGCTCTCTCTCAGTCTCTGTCTCTCTCTCTCTCCCCCCTTCCCCAAAGGAGACACAGTAAGAGTAGAATTTAGGACTTTGGTTGATCCCCTCTGTAACCATCCCCAACCCTGCCCCCACTCTCTCTCCATGACAAATTCAAATGCTTAACAAAAGACCATGACATGTGATTTAAAAGGTACGTACCTCTGAGCATCCTCCGAGACTCAGAGTCTTTGGTCACAGTGGCCAGCGAGTGAGGGAGCACACTACCACAGCTGTTGCTCTGTCCCAGGGGCAGATGAGCCTGTGAGAACCGGGAGAGAACACTTTAGGCACACTGCAGGCCAAATGGTCCTTCATCAAGCAGCCACGTCCCTGGGTCCACTGCTCCTGTCTAAGTGTAGAGAGCACAGAAGGCAGGTATTTCTGTCCCATTTTGTTGATGCTCAATGGTGAAGGCCAGTCGCTGGGTCTCCCTAAGAGGTTCATACAGTCTATACATCACAGCAGTTCTGCCAGTGGCAGCAATTCCAAAAGTGAAGAAAGTCAGGCAGAACACTATCTAACATCACATCAGTGAACGACTGAATATTCGTCATGCAGGAGGAGCAGAGGGCAGATGCAGGGAGAAGAATCAATGCACATCATACACAAGAACAGGAAAGAGCCACACTTGTCATGAATGCACCAATTACCATCTACCCCCATTTATCTGTTGTTGTTGTTGTTAGGTGCCCTGGAGTCGGTTCCGACTCACAGCAACCCTGTGTACAACAGAATGAAACACTGCCCAGTCCCGCACCGTCCTCACCATCTTTGCTGTGCTTGAACCCACTGTTGCAGCCAATGTGTCAGTTTATCTCACTGAGGGTCTTCCTCTTTTTCGCTGACCCTCTACTTTACCAACATGCTGTCCCATTTATCTAGTAAGCTAAAAATTGGAGAAACCCATTAACTATCCCAGTGGCTTTAGCACTCTTATAAAGAGCCAAATTCTTTATGTAAATAACAATTTAATTGAAATACCAATTTATAAAAAAAAAGATTACAAAACAGTTACTCTGATAAAAAGCAGATGAAAGGCCAGGTCTAGTTACAGCCTTCTTACCTCCTCTCTCTTCCTGCAGTGGCCCCTTGGACACGTCACCACAACATGAGTGAGCACACGGCTCAGGCACCAGCCCGTGTAGGGCCACATTCCAATCTACCACTTCCCAACTGAAAGCACTCAGGCTAGTTGCTCACCTTCGCTGCGCTTCAGTTTATCCACACATACAATGGGGTAATAGTATCTGTACTGCATAGTGTTGCTGGTTGTAAAATGTGTCAGGTACATAGACATGACTCAACAAATATTTGTTGCTGCTATTCCTGGATCCTATGTGATTTCCAGATCTGGGATGCAGACATGGGAGTCTGACGTGTGTGTGAATGTCATCGACCATCTGTGTCGTGGCGGTAGAAAAAACCTGGACCAAGTTATTTGGCCCCAGAGTGTACAATTGCAAATGTCCTCTGAATAGGATAGAAAATGCAATTTAGCTCTGACTTCTTCCCGGCAGGCAAATATGATCTACTATGTAGCATGTTCCCATCTTAAGGGCCTCTGCACATCAGTCAACATAACGACAAGGAGACTCAGTGACTGTGGAGCCCGTGGTTCTTCCCACGTCCTACCTGTGGGGCGGTGCTTCTCCCCATAGTAGCACTGCTGAAATGTGTCGATATGGAAGGTGTGGTTTTCTTTCGAGGCAAAGTGTCACTCAGATAGAGGCCTTCTTTATGCTGTTTTTTTCTTTCTTCCAGACTTCTAAAGTGCTTTAAATGCAAATGTAAAGCAAAATAGCAAACTTGACTAATTGAAAGAGATCACTTATGAAATTAAGACTATGCAATTACAAAGAAGTTTTGGAATTTTTACACACAGAATTTTTCATTATTATTAAACTTATATTTGTGTTCACTAACAGACTTGGGATAGCACTTGATAAGACACATAGAGACTGGAAGAATTTATTACTAACCTAGCAAATTAAAAAAAAAAAAAATCTGCCTTTTAGTTTCATAGTGCCTGCTGCCTTGGGGCTTCAGGACAACTTACAGATCATGATGATGGTTACCATGTGGAAGGCAGACAGTCAGCGGACAAAGCAAGTAAGCAGTTTCTCCCCTTGTCTGTCTGGACAGTTCTGTGCAATGACACAGACCCCAGCGTGAGGAGAGCAAGAACAAGAAACGGAGAAGGAAAAAGACAGAGAGGAAGCAAGTAAACAAGGAAGCTGTTTTAAGGTTGTAATAAGATTTCTGTCATGTAAACACACTCAAATCCACAGGGTTCCTATGGAAGACATCTTCCTAGGTTATTCATTTATTTAAACAGATCTTGGCTAAGGAGCTCCTATAGTAATCCTTCACATTTACAAATCCACCTGTGGAATATTCTATTTTTTCAGATTCCTGAGATAAGATTCTGTCTACTTAAATTTATCCAAAATTTTCTAGGCTTCACCCCACCCGCAAGAGGAAAACCCCAGTCTTCGTGGTAAGGTGATTTCCTAATTAAAAGTTCTTCAGGTTTGATCATTTTTATACCAAGTTTAGGCTTCTGAAATACATTTAAAAAAATAAATGCAAATGTGAGTTAGCAAATTTATGAACAAGCTTCCAACTTGCCTGTCATGAGAAAATCTGCATTCTAACTTTATGATTATCTAGTCATGCTAGGTAACATTTATTAATATTTATGCTAACATAATATTAATTAATAAATAGTGCAAACATTAACAATATGTATTAACATTAGTAATTGCTTACTATGTGCCAGGTATGATATTAATTGCTTTATATACATTATTTTATTCAATTCTCATAATAATCCTGTGATTATTATTATCCTTATTTTACATATGAAGAATCTGGGGTGCAGGGTGGTTAAACAAGTTTGCCCTAGGTCATGCAGCTAGAAAGTGGCAGAGCTGTAATTTAAGCCCAGGGAGTTCACTCTATGATAACAGCATCAGAACTCTTCAACTTCGCTCTCATTATGACCAAATGTCACAAATTCCAGAATTCAAAACTTCCTAGTTTTCCATAATAGGTAGCTTAATACAACAGGAAAGAAATCCCATTGAAAACATAGGTTAACTAATATTGGGGGTGGGGGGGACAGGCAGATTTGAAAACTGTTTTGTTACTAGAGATGTCTTTTACCCTAAATGCAGCTGTTAGAGAGATAAATATAACATCAAAATTGAAGATGTTTAGTTTTTTCATTCTCCTTGTCACTCCTTTGTACATATCACGTATTTGACCCACTTTTCACCAATTCCCTTTTTAATTCACCACAGGCAGTAGTAACCTTGAAGTTGTGGGGGGACAGAGTCTCTGTAACAGAAGGTGACAGATAACAAACGTTGCTGTCAGTTACCCTTAAGGGCTGGGTTGAGCTCATTTTGAGATCTAGTGACCATGTTTCCTCAGGATTTTCTGGGACCGTAATCAAATTCCTATAGGAACCGAAAGGGAGTGCCGAAAGACATTTTTTTGAATACTCAATCATTAATATGCATTGAGTGTACTAAAAGGAGGGTAACATTCAGAATAACAAGTTACTTATTTAAGAAGCTGGTCAATAAAAACTGTTCTCGAAAACATCATGCTAAGTGAAATGAGTCAGACACAAATGGACAAATATTGTAGGATCCCACTTAAAAGAAATATCTAGAATAGGCAAATGTATAGAGACTCAAGTTTCTTAGTGGTTGCCAGGGGTGGGTAGGAGGGAAAAATGAGGGAGCACTGCTTAAGGATGCTGGGTTTCTGTTAAGGGTGAGGGAAATGTGTGGAAATGGATAGCGATGATGGTTGCACAATATGGTGAATGTAATTAAGGTCACTGAATTATACACGTATAAATTATACACGTAAAAATAGTTGAAACGGTAAATGTCTTGTTATGTGTATTTTACCACAATAAAACAATAATAATTAAAAATAACAACAACTATTGTTCTGTGGACCAAATGTGCTACTTGTAATTTAACCTTGGACAAGCTAGTTAACTGTACTGAGCCTCAGTTCCCCAAATGTCAATGTGGAGATAATTCTTATCTCACGAGATTGTTCTAAGGACAAAATGAGATATTTGTAAAATGTTTAGCAAATTCTGACACATATTAAGGGAATGATGTCTAAGAAGCTAATACTTCTATTTTGTATTGACAAAGCAACTTCTTATACCATGGATTTTATAAACATTATTTTAAAAAACACCTGGGATAATGTGAACTATTTTGGTTGCATGGGAACTGGAGCCTGAGAACGTGAAACTCGCTGAAGCACACAAAAAGCAGGGAGAGGACAATCAAGGCCTCAAAACTTTACAGCAATCCCAACATCCTTAGAGGAGCCCTGTGGCACAGTGGTTAAGAGCTCGGCTGCTAACCGAAAAGTTGGCAGTTCAAATCCACCAGCCACTCCTTGGAAACCCTGTGGGGCAGTTCTACTCTGTCCTGTAGGGTCGCTATAAGTCAGAACCAACTTGACAGCAACGGTTTCACTTTGTTTTGGAACATTCTTAAAATATACTAAGTGTCAAAAAAAAAAAAAAAAAGCACAAAGGAGTATGCAACTTGCCTTTTAATAAAAAACACCTTTGTGTTTGAAGAAAAGACTCCACATAAGTAACTTTGTTGTCAAGGTAAAATTCCCCAACTCTAAACACCAGTTCCTGATTACCTGCTGCTCCTGCTGCTGCTGCCTTCTGTGTTTCTTAGCTGGCAGAAGAGGAGGTGTATCATTTAAAGGAAAAGGATCGAGAGATGCAGCCATGACTTCAGGCCAAGGGACTGATGGAGGCTGAGTGATAGGATGAGGAGAAAGGGTGGAAGGACACATAAACCCAGAACAGACAGGTGATCTCTGCCTCATAGGAGAAAGAAAAAGAAGAGATGTGTCCATATGAAACAAAAGAATAAAACCAACAAAGAAATGGAAGCAATAATCTGATTGTTCTGTTTAGCCATATTTTTATCAAGAAGTCACAAATGATGGGAAGTGTCTTTTAATTCAGCCTCTTGTTAAAATCCCACACTTCATGTAACCTGTACTGTAGAAAATACTTTAATTACTATTGCTTGCCATGTGTTAATATGTTTTAAAAAAGCACAACATTAAAAGAAAAATCCACACTGCAAAGCAAAACAGACGACAAAATCAAACTGGAAAGATGATTCAAATCAACAATTTTAGAAAGGCTTTTCACGACTCTCAGATATCTTAGGTTGGGTTAGAGTGCTTAGGTATTGGATTTATTTCTTTGGACTTACATCTCCTAGTGCTCTCAGTTTCATCTCCACTCTTTACCATACATGTCATGGTTCCTAGGACTTTAATAGGCGCAGCAGTGTTTCCAGATTGGTATGTTTTATAAACTCCATCGCTCTGCCCTCTGCTCAAACAGACGTATATTTCTCACACGTGCCTTCAGCTCACCATCGGTTAATTTTTGACATGAGGAAAAGCAGTGAATGAATGAAATGTCATGCCAACACACCTCTGTATTCTGTGGCTGGCTCACCAGCACAGCTGTGGCAGACTCAGTGGCAACAGCATCAGCATCAGCAGGGAACTGAGTGGAAGGGGACAGATTCGTGGAATTGCAACATGGCTCATTAATTTCATTTACACTGATATAGCCCTAAAAGGAGGAATTCAGAAGTTAGACACAAAGAAAGCAAAAGCTGAGGCATGCGAGAGTATTAATGTTCCCAGTACAATGGAGTTAGCTTAGAGCAGCATAGCCAGATATCTGTGATATTATCAAATGTTTCATTAAAGGGCAATCAGGGATTACAATGGATTTAAAGTGCGTAATCTTGAAAAGTGGCATTCCAAACATTACAAATATTTTTTTTTTATGAAATCACTATGACTACATTATAAATAACCCAACGCCTTCCATTTTAAAATACCCAGTGGTATCAGTATTCATTCTGTTTACTGAATGAGCTTATCATTACACACACATTTAACATAATCACACAAAATCTGAGATGTAACATTCAAACATAATCACTCACTCCTTGATACAAGAGCCTTTTCCACCAATCCTCATTCATAGATTTTTCTCTTTTTCTGTTTTTTGACAAATTAGAGTACGAGAGGAAGTGGGCCAAGGTGTACTGGATCTTTCACTAAAATGACATTTATACAACAGAAATTTCTTTGTGATGGAATCTAGTTTTCGAGCATCTCAACCAAATGAGGATACAAAGGACACAGCTTTCTCAATCAGGTGAGCTTTTCTAGAAAAATAAACACACACATATACACACACCCCGAAGGGAGGGTAGCAACTACAGGGTGTTTCAATCAAAAGTTCAGAGCAGCTTCCGCAACCCCACCTCCAACCCCAGAGAATTTCCAGGAACTTTTAAGTTCGGTGCTTCAGTTTTGGCTTCAGCTTAGAGAAAACACCCATAAATCAAAGCTATCCAGATCAAAACTCCTGAATTCATACTTGCGGGAAAGGCACTTTTAAATTTTCATGGAAAGTAACTATACAGACAAATTTTGATTTTCATCAAAATTTTCATCAAAAATAAAAAAAAATAAAAGGTTTAAAGTAATATCGCCCTTTTAAAAGTTAAACTGAGTTAAGTTTGACATTTAGCTTCTTATGCCAGCCCATCAATCCTTTCAAAAGTGGCTCCGGGAAAGGCAAGAATTCTGGGCTAGAAATCAAGGTTTTTACTGAGACTTATAATTATGACAAAATAAAGAAAGCTAGAGTTGACTTTATAAACTGGAAGCATCAAAATGCTCCTAAATATAATCCTGCATTCCCAAAAGGGCAATAGATATCATGTAAAGCTTTATAAGGCTAAACTGAAAAAGGAAGTTGTCAACTGGGTTGTCAGATTTGATTTTATTTATGATAATGAGTTAGGATGAAAAGGAACAACTTTGTGCTATTCTTTTGCACAATCGATAGGAGAATGTTTTCAGTAAAACCAAAGTTTGACTCCTTATATGGATCATAGACCATATACAGACCATAGACTAATTAATTGCTTCAAAAATGTGTACTGTTTGTCAGAAGTAGGAGTTGTTTAAGAGTTAGGACATAAATGCATCACTCCTTAATGAAAAGAGAGAGAAAAAAACAAAGAAAGAAAGAGTCATGGAAACATCCTGGGCATCTTGTAAGTGAAGTCTGCATGGTACAGGAAAGAGAACACATAGCTACCCAACAAACATGAGAACTGCAGGCACACAAAAATAGCAAAAAAAAAAATTAAATGTGCTTTTGACCCCAAGAAGTCTGCATAGGAAAAGGACCATGGAGAAATAGAATAGCAAAGATTTTATTCTTCCACTAGGAAATGAAAGACCAACACCATCCAGCTCGTCTGTATGCCACATGCCCTCCACAATCAGTGTGCCCAGAGCTGAATTTCAAACCTTCCCTCTTAAACCTACTCCTTCCCAATCTTCCCTACCTCAGGAGAAGGCACTCACCATCCATCCCATTATTCCAACTGAAACAATGGTATCATCCTGACTCCTCCCCTTACTGCATCCCCATACCCTATCTTTCAGCAAGATCTGTCAACTCTAACCCCAAATCTAATCTTGTTAATTTTCTCCATCTCTCAATCACTGCTCTAATCCAAGCCACCAGCATCTCCAGCATGCACTGTTGCAGCAACTTCATACTGGTTTCCCTGAATTTTCTCTTACTCCTTTTAATCCAGGATCCACAGAGCTGCCAGGGTAATCTTTAAAAAATGCACATCAAATAATGTCACTTCTCTACTTAAAACCACCTACTGACTTCCCATGGTACATAAAATAAACCGTCTTTCTGTAACCTGACTCACAAAACCTGGCGCCTACCCACCTCACAGACATTACCTTATGCCAGTGTCTCATACTCACTACACTCCATTCACAACCATCCTTTTTTCATTGAGCCTGCCAGTTCTCTGTTCCTGAAATGCCTTGATCCAAGTATCTATCTCTTCCTCACAACAATTATATGACTTAGGCCCCATTGTTATCATCCCCATTTTACAAGTAACGAAACAGACACAAAACGGCTAAATAACCACCCCAAGGTCACAGACCAGGGCTTCAGACTCAGGAAGTCTGGCTCTTAGTTGTTATAATAAGCTGCCTCTCAGTACGTAAGTTCCTATAGAACAGGACCTTTCCTACCTTGTTCAGGTGTGCATCTCCTGTGTATACGTGCCGAGATGCAAGCCTGTCACATAGTAGGCACTTCACAAATATGTGTAGAATACCATCTTATTCAATCTCTTTAGCTCCCAGATGAGGAAAGGGATGCAGGGAGGTCACGGGGAAGGGTCACAGAGAATGCAAAAGGAAAGCTGGATCCCACAATCCTGTTATGGACTGAATTGTGTCGCTCAAAAAGTTATGTTGAAATCCTAACCCCTGTACCTGTAAATCTAGGAGCCCTGGTGGCACAGTGGTTAAGCACTCAGCTCTGCTAACCAAAAGGTCAGCAGTTCAAGCCCACCAGCCACTGTGCAGGAGAAAGATGTGGCAGTCTGCTTCCATAAAGATTACGGCCTTAGAAACCCTGTGAGGCAGTTCTACTCTGTTCGATAGGGTTGCTATGAGTCGGAACAGACCCGATGCAACGGGTTTGGTTTTTGGTTTTGTTTGGTACCCGTAAATATGAGCCTGTTTGGAAACAGGGCTTTTCTCTTGTTATGTTACTGAGGTCATAATGGAGTAGGATGAGTCCTAAACCTAGCCCCTCTGGATAGTGTTTCATAAAAACAGACACAAACAACACACCACAATAAGACACATCTCAACTGCTGCTCTCCCCTGGGCTCTTTCCCAAGGTACTACTTAGCATCCTGCAGAACAATAATCAGAATCCAAAGCAAATTCTACCTGTATAAGCAGGACCCAACACAGGAGTTCAAATACATGAATCTACATCCTGGTTACCTAGGTTTTTTTTCCCCCATCAATAATTAAACTGTGGAGAGAGAAGCATAACTTGATAATAAACATTTCTCTCCTCTGTCCTCCACCGCCCCCACTGAAAGCAGTCACTCCAGCATCATAAATCATCCTGAGGCACCTGTACTCCTAGTTTGCCAGCAACTTCCACTCTTCCTGTTGAGCTAGATAAGAACCACAACCAGGGTGAACAGAAACTTCATAAGCTTTATTCCATTTAAGATCCAGTATAGAAAATTGTATTCTTTTAATAAGCTAATTATTTTATCCACTCCTAAGAGGTATGTGGGAGTAAGACGGGGCAAACTAAACTTCCAAATTATGTATTTTTCTAATTAAGTCCCACCTTAAAAATAAAATCAATTTTCCAATAAAACTGACTAGTGATATTAAATATTTTTACACAAATAAAATTCTTACATGGTAAATATAAAGAAGGTTAAAATTTTGCTCTAGAAAATTTTGTGGAATTGTTTTCATGTTATTTTACTTAATAACCCAAAATACTAAATGTGTAAATCTGTTATACAAATTATAACATATGTACTTTCTTTTTAAAACACATAAGTGGTTCAAAGATCAAAGTCACTCTCAACCTACTTAAAAGAATACTTATTTTAGTAAAATAATCAGAAAAATTGTCCTGTTTATGTTTTACATAAACTTTACTATGCAATAAGTAAGGGATTTTTTTAAAAAGGCAGTATTACTGTACTGTAAATGCTCTTCAAAAATGTGAATGGCAAGCATCTCCACAAAGGAACAGAAATCAAGAAACGTTTGCTGTTATGGAAAAGGGTCTTAGAGATTTTTGAATAATGGAGAGAAATATGAAACTGAACGACCTATAAAGCTTTTATAAAAAATATTTCACAAAATGCTTCCAAGGTACCCACCCAATAGTCATATCGATGAGTCAGAATTGACTTGCTGGCAACTGTTATTATTATCATGAGCATTTTATTTCACATACCTCCACAAAATGTATTTTCTATATAGGAATTTCTAGCTCTGCGGTCCTATTTAAAGCAGTTTATCCATGAAAGCAGTTTTATTATACAAATTTTTATGCAGAAGCAAGCTTTTTCCTTAGCTTTTTAGAAAACATTAAATCTAAAGAAAACTATTTTATTTCTCAGTCAGGATTATAATTTCCCAAACCAGAGTTAAAATACTGGTATAAAACCAGTGTACCAGTGTAGCTCATGAAGAAAACATTTGGGAAAGAGTGGTGATAGGGACTGGAAAGAGCAGAATATTTGGGATAAAGAATGTGTACAGCTTAATGTAAACAGAAATTTAGAAAAAAAATAGAAATAACACTGATTTTTAAAAGAGAGAGAAAGAGAAAAGAAATCAGACTATTTCCTCAAATGTCTGGGGTATTTTCATGTTCTGTAAGACTTAAGGGAACGAAAAGTAAAATAAGCAAGGGGAGAAGGAGAAAGAAGACTGGGAGAAGGAAAGAGGAGAATTTAAGACTATTCTGGGTCTGGATCTTAAAATTTTGAAACTCTAAGTTAACCCACAATGTGACTGCCAAGGAAAGTAGATAGACACACACACATGCACGCACAATGTTCGTCTTCATTAGACATAAAGATAATGCCTGAAACATACAAAGTACATATAATGAAAGACGGGAAAGCCATAAAAGCACTAAGTGCTTTCATAAGTCAGTTAATGTTTTTACTATTCAGTTAATCACATAAACCTAAAGTATATCTCCTGATTTATAAGGTGACATTTATAAGCTTACCTCTTTAAGACTATTGGTGCTGACAGGAAACCCTTTCCCCCCTGAGAGGCTGGAGTATTTCTTTTCCAAATTACAAAGATTCTCCTTTTCCTGCAGGAACACAACATCTATTAAGGTGACAGTCAGCCTTGGACACAACTGAGAAACCCAGTGACTTTGAAACAGAAACAAACATCAGAATCCCATACCCTTCAGCCATTTCTATCTCCTCTCCACATACATAGTCAAAACTTCAAATTATACAACCAAGAACTCATCTGCTAGCTGATAGGATGCATGGGTTCCTTTCAAACAAATTTACTTTTCATTCAAGAGAAATTTATAGAGTAACAGTATGTTTAAAAAAAAAAAAAGGCAAGAGTAGGCCACTTTGGTTGAATCAAGAATGGAAGGAGGAGCCCTCAGATTCCCTCACAACCCTTGTCTTTGGCATATTTTCTAAAGTCAATTTTTTCTACCTCTTCTAAGTAGCACATAATCATATGCCTTCTAGTGATATATCATAATCTAGTGATATATTTTCTTCTGGAAAAATGGCCAGTAAGTCACATGAAAAAAATACTCAACATCATTACCAACTAAAATGACTAAAGTTAAAAAGTGAAAATTCCAAATGTTGACAGGATATGGAGCAATTGGAACTTTCATACATTGCTAAAGAGAGTGTAAAATGGTGCAACCACTTCAGAAACTGTTTGATGGTTTTATTTTTAAAACATTAACCATATACTCATCCTATGACCCAGTAACTCCACTAGTAAATATTTACACACTAGAAATGAAAACATGTCTTCATAAAAACTTGCACAAGACCATTTAAAGCAGTTTTACTAAAAATAGCCAAAAAACTAGCAACAACCTAAATGTCTATCAACAAGAGAATAGGTCAAAAAAAATTGTGGTATGTTTATGTAATACAATAACTACTCAAGAATAAAAAGGAGCGAACTACCTACTGATACATGCAATATCATGGATGTATTTAAAAAACACTATGCTGAATGAAAGAACTTAGGCACAAATGAGTGCATATTATATAATACCATTTATGTGAAGTTCAAGACAGGCAAAACTAGTGCAAGGCCACAGTGCTTGCTTATGGGGTGGGGATTGACTGGAAAGGATCATGAGAAAACTTTCTCAGAAATGCTCTTTTATGTTTCTATGGAAGAATCAGATTGTATACTTAAGATCTGTGCATTTTACTTTATGAAATAAAATATCCAGCCCAAAAATATTTTTTTCCAAATGTTCCTTAACACTGGATTAATTTGTATTTCCCAGAAGACTAATAATGTTGAGTATTTTTTCATGAGACTTATTGGCTGTCTTAGCTATCATAACAGAAATAACACAAGTGGATGGCTTTAACAAACAGCAATTTATTCTCTCATAGTCTAGGAGGCTAGAAGTCCAAATTCAGGGCACCAGCTCCCAGGGAAGGCTTTCTCTCTGTCGGGAGAAGGTCTTTGTCATCACTCTTTCCCTGATCTAGTTGCTTCTCAACACAGGGACTCCAGGTCCAAAGGGCAAGTTCTGCTCCTGGCACTTCTTTCATGGTGGTAGGAGGTCACTCTCCTCTCTGCTCACTTCTCTCTTTTATATCTCAAAAGAGATAACTCAAGATACAACCTAATCCTGTCGATTGAGTCCTGCCTCATTAGCATCATAAAGGTTAGGATAAAAAACACAGAGGATAATCGTATCAAATCACAAAATGGAAGACAACCACAGAATACTGGGAATTAGGGCCTAGCCAAGCTGACACACATTTTGGGGTAGGGGGGAACAATTCAATCCATAACATTGGCCATTCATTCATCTTCTTTTGTGAAACGCCTATTCAATTTTTGTTTTTGTTACTGGGTGTTTATCTTATTAGTAGTGAATTTAAGGAGTTTTCTATATTTTCTGAATACAAGTCCTTTGTCATTTCCCCTTTAAAAAGTCTCTGCTTACCCCAAAGCCATGAAGATGTATTTGTACTCCTATGCTTTCATCTGGAAACTTTGTCAGTTTAGTTTTCACGTTTAGGCTTGTGATCTGTCTCAAAATTAACTTTTATGTATGGTGTCAGGATGGTGTTGAAGTTCTTTTTTTTTTTCATGTTTATCCACTTAATCCAGCACCATTTGTTGGAAAGATTTTTATTTCCTATTGAATTGTCTCGGAGACTTTATCAAAAATTAACATGGAAGTCTATTTCTGGACTCTGTTGAGTTCCATTGATCTATACATCTATTTGTATGTCAGCACCACACTGTCTTAATTACTACAGTTTTATATTAAACCTTGAAATTAAATGTATAAATTCTCCAAATTTATCTTCTCATTCAAAGTTATTTTAGCTATTCTAGGCCCTTTGCATTTTCATATAAGCTTTAGCATCAATTGTCAATTTCTCCGAGAAGAGTCTGTTTGGATTTTGATTGGGACTGAGATGTATCTATAGATCAGTTTGGGAAAATAAAAATCTTAATGAGTATCCTGTTGCTGTCGAGTCAATTCCGACTCATAGTGACCCTATAAGACAAAGTAGAACTGCATCATAGAGTTTCTAAGGAGGAGCTGTGGATTTGAACTGCCAACCTTTTGGTTAGCATCTGAGCTCTTAACCACTGCACCACCAGGGCTCCCTTAATAAGTATAGACCACAATTATTACTATAGAAATGTATTTCATATTTTTAATCAGGAAATGTTATATCTGTAATTGTGCTTACTCATTTAAAAAAATCTATCACTAAGGGAATTTTCTCCTTTGCTAAAATTTCAGAAACAACTTGAGTACTATATATCACATTATCTCATTTAAGCTGTGCTTCTGAATATTGAGTGCCAAGGGTAAAATGGCGGTGGGGAAAGTAACAGCATCAGAACTCATCGTCAGAGCAGAGGTGGAAAATACAACTCCACTCAGAGATTGCTAGGAGCTGAAGAAGCAGGAGAACAGCCATCAGATCTGTGTGGGTGCAGAGGCACCTCAGGTGGACTCCTAATTCCATGTGAGGGACAAATTTCCTCTGTCTTCCCAACTTAAAAATAGCTAAGAAGGGAATTCTCTGGCTATAATGTTTCTTCTAGGTGGGACCATGGAACAACCTCATCCTATAATCCATCATTCTGGATCTAAGACTCTTTCTCTTGCTCCCCATTCTGAGTCACATTTGGGCGTACATGCACGGCTCGGTGGTAAGACTGCCCATCAACTTCAATAGTTTGTCTTATCTCTGAGTCTTTTCCTTATCCCTAGATTAGGGCCCATGCTAGGAAGTTAGGCTACAGGTTGTAGTTTACTGTCTTTGGGCAAAGAGGAGTTCCTGAGTGGTGCAAATATCTACATAACACACTTTTAACATGTCCAATTGCTAACCAAAAGGTTGTCAGTTTGAGTCCACCCAGAAAAGCTTTGGGAAAAACAACAGGCAACCTACTTCTGAATGATCAGCCCCTGAAAACTCAATGGAGCACAGTTCTACTCTGACCATACATGAGGTAGCCATGAGTCAGCATCAACTTGAAGGCAACTGGTTGGGCATGTAGCCACTTCAGGTCCCAGGGCAGATGGGGACATAGTCTCTTTGTGAGGACAGACCTTGCCACCCCTCTAACCATAATACACGGGGTATCTACCTGTCCAGTTGAGTCAAGCTAAATTCAATGAAGCATTTTCCAGGAAGAAATGCGTAAGTAATAAGAGTTCAAAACACCAAAGCAGCTGAGCCAAAATATTTGACAGCAGTAAAACAAGCAGTTTTCCTTAAGCCTACTCAAAATTGTTGTCCAAATGCGTTTTACCTTTTGGAAGAAAACTATGATTTTCTAAAGGAGGAAAATAAGAAAAAGTATAGATTTTTCATAGTTTCGATTTTCACAACGTGGAAAAAAACATCATGAAGAAAATGTCTCTGCTTATTTTCTGAATTACAGTTAATCATTCACAGACCATCAGTTTATTAATGTGGAGGGTTAAATAAAAATGTATAGAAAAGACTTTCTTAAATTATAAAAGACATTCACTATTAAATAAAAAGGTACGTAAAAGTCTTTCTTACATGATAAAGACATTCATTACCAACAGGCATTTACTTTGAAGAAGGCAACTTTCCCCGGTAGAACCTACATTTTATTGCAAGCAGCGCTCACATGGAAACACTTACCCTTTGCAGCATCATTATTAAGTTATTCTTTTCTTTCACAAAATGATCTTGCTCCCGCTGAGCCTGCTGGACAATGTGATTTGCTTGTTTTTTCAATGCAGAAATTTTTTCCTGGACGAAAAAAGATTATCATAGATACATGTACATTAGACATTCAAAGATTTGCCAGTCTGTCCTGGAAAAGACAGACAAGGTATTTACAACTCGGATAACAGTGACCACATTTTAGCTGATGGTGGGTTTGAACCACCAACCTTCAGGTTAGTAGTCAAGTGCAAATCGTTTGTGCCACTTAGGGACTTTCAGCTGATTGTTCTTGTTGGTTGCTGTCTAGTCGTTTCTGATTCAGGGCAACCATAAAACCAAAAAAATAAAAATAAACCCACTGCCCTTGAGTTGATTCCAACTCATAGCGACCCTACAGGACACAGCAGAACTGCCCCACAGGCAAGGATTATTGCCCAGAGACTGTGAGGCTTTTTCTTCTACCTGCCAGGCTCAACATTTCTCTTTACTTAAGGCCAACACAGTTCAAGTGATTTAAAGTCTATTTTGAAGAACGTGGATGTAAACAGGAAATCTTGTTTTAGACTATAAATGAATTTTTGACATCGTCTTGGGAGACACCTCCTGGGAAAAAACAACAATGGAATTTCTTTTTTAAACTGAGAGTTAAGAAGTCACTTTTTCCTCCTCCTCCCTCAATTTCATCAGGTTAGTACAGAGCACTGGGTACGATTCTGAATTCTGGAGCAAGTGCTGAATTCTAGGCTGCGTATCTGGGTGCTGGGTGTTGGGGGGCTCAGTAATTGGTGTAGAATTCCATGAGCTACTTCTAATGGAAATAAGCCATCAGCCAGTTTTGATAACCCTGAGCAAGGAAAACAGAGGAAATCCCAAAATAGACTTTGTTCACAGAATTAGTCTGAATCTAGTTACTATGGTTGCAAAGGAAGTAATTTAAAACAAATGTCTATAAATTTCTGATTTTGTATGTCTTGGTTTCCACATAAAAGAAAAAACAGAATATTATTCATAAATGCATCTGTAACATTATGTAACAATGACTGTAAAGTCAATGTATCTAGTTTAGGGCACCATTTGCCATATATATGGCAGAATCCATAATCTGCTAAATACGGTATGTGATTAAACACGCAATACTCAGATACAAAGACATGTAGGCATACAGATGCAAGTTAAAGCTATATTAACTATCTTTATTGTCACATACAAGGAGTATATTTAAAAAATTTTTTTTAACATTTAATGACACCTGGCAAAATTACCTTTCTAGTAACTATGTTGCGTTGATACTCAGCCACTTCACGCAGGAGCTGTTGGGTCAGGTTCTCTTTTTCCTCATCCAGACGGCTCTCATGTTCAAGCTGCTGGAATTCTAGGTCTTCAAAGTGTTTGCTCTCAACATCCAACAAATCAGCATCCTTTGAGGAAAAGAGAATGAAAACAAGACACACCAGAATGGCTGCAGTCTTAACATGAAGGAGCAATTATTATTACTATTTTTTATAGTGCTTTAGGTGAAAGTTTACAGTTCAAGTTAGTTTCTCATACGAACATTTATACACACATTGTTATGTGACCCTAACTGCTCTCTCTATACTGTGACGGCGCATTCCTCCTTTCCACCCCTGATTTCCCATGTCCATTCAACTAGCTCCTGACCCTCTCTGCCTTCTCATCTCACCTCTGGACAGGAGCTGCCCATTTAGTCTCATGTATCTACTTGAACTAAGAAGCTCACTCTTCACAAGTATCATTTTATGTCTTATAGTCCAGTCTATTCTTTTTCTGAAGAGTTGGCTTTGGGAATGGTTTTAGTTCTGGGTTAACAGAGAGTCCAGGGGCCATGTCTTCTAGGGTTTCTCCAGTCTCAGTCAGACCATTGAAGTCTGGTCTTTTTATTAGAATTTGAGTTCTGCACCCCACTTTTCTCCTGTGCCATCAGGGACTCTCTGTTGTGTTCCCTGTCAGGGTGGTCACTGGTGGTAGCTGGGCACCATCTAGTTTGAAGAAGCAATTATTTAAAAGCAGACAGTTCAAAATATTTTTCCAATTACAACACTGACTAGAGTTAGAATATGATAATCCTCTCTTTTGGAGTTAAACTGTACAGCAGTAACTGCTAGAGTGGAAATGAAAGGAGGGGAACATTTATTTCACCTCTATGACTATAGGAATTCTTGTTTTAAATATATTAGGTGCCTTTAAAATGGATCATGAAATACTACAAGAATTCCATAAATGGCCTAAACATTATCTGCAGACCAAAGATGTGACAGTCTCGAGAGAAAACTATTTTGCACAAATTTTCAAATGAAACAAGACTTCAATACAGAGATTAAATTCAAGATTATACAGACTAGAGGTCTCTAAGAAGAATATATGCACCTTCAACGGCACACAACACAATCGAATGAGATGTGAGGAAAAATATTACACATTTTTTATATTTGAAAGTATACTAAAAAGTTTTTTCCTTTTCTTTTTCAATTTCTTGGTAAATGTTTTCTAATGTACATATATGTAGAGCAGTTTAAGTACATAATTATATATATATATAATATATATAAAATGATAAATATGTATATACAATGCATGCCCAAAGAGTTTTATTGACTGGCAATCAGGAACATTGGAGACTGTGATTCTTAAATTAGGCTTCTATAATCCCTTAAAAATGTTTACAAACCTTTGTCTATATGCATTTTACTGGAAAGAGTGGATACACAGTATTCATCAGTCACAAAGGATGATTTAAAAGGTTAAACATCACTACCCTGGGAATAATCTTGAGGACATGTAAGAAAAGTCAGAGATCATGAAAATCAGGTGGTCTAGGATAAGTATTCTCCGACCTGAGATGCTTAGGAATGAATCATCGCATTCATGCATCTGTATTTGTGCAGAGATGGGTATATGTTGTAAAATGGTTCTCCAATCTCCACTTTTAAACGTCCCTTGCTTTTTAGAAACTTTCACAGAACTATAAATGTGGCATGTGCAGAAGATTTTTTTTAAAATACAATTTATAAATACTCTGTGGCCCAAAGAAGAGGCAGCTGGACTATGCTGGCCAAAGATCCACATAGGTTAAATAGCCAGGAACTTTGTTTTCCAATCGAAACATCAGATAAAGTTGGATAAACCAATATAAGATAAACTAGCTCTGAGTCACTATTTAAATTCACTCTACCACCTGCGCACCCAGTTTTTATATAAATGATAAAGTTTTTTAATAGAATGGAATATATTTCTATCTTCTGGAATGAATTCTGGGAATGACTCATAGAAGGGCTATTAGCTACCATGTAATTACCACCAACACTACAGCAACAAGATTATTATGTCAACACAGACTGTGAATTTACAAAGGTTAAGAGCCAGGAAAACACAAGTTGAAAACATATTCAGTGTTTCCTAAGACTTCTTTACATTTTATTTGGCCACACAGAATGTGGTCTTGGTTTCAATTTTATTGACTGACATTCCAAGTTTATCTGTTAGTTCCACAATAACTTTTAAAAGAACTAATAAATTTGGACCAAGTCTAGTCACTACTTAAAGAATTAAGACATAACTCAAGTTTATGTCTTGACGCAAAATACCTTTAGTTTTGATCTGAAACAAAACAACAACTGATATATTTATTCATACAGGTATATATACTCAAGTTTTTAAAGGTATTTCAATTAAGCTTAATTTGTAAAGACTATCAAGATTAAAAAATAATAATAAGCCCCTTTTTCTTGCTTATAAAAATCTTCAGTCAAAATGGGAAGACGGTTAACAGCTCACACACTAGGCTAGTCAGTTCCTTAACACATCTCATTAACATGCAACAGGTGTTATCTCAACCCTGCATGAAGGCCACAGTCACTGATGTACTTCTAGTATATGTGTGAGCCACCGCATAAAAATAATAGCACACAGGCAGGAAAGTTGAAGATTAAAGCTACACTGAGCACTCAGATTTCACTGGTGTAATCATTTGATCAAGTTATCCAAACCATTAGAATGTGTGTAGGTAAGCTTACACTCTGAATGAAAAACTATTGCAGGTGGGGGGGTGGGGGTTTAAAGGCTTTTAGAGAAGAATAAGAATCCAGGGAGTGGAATGTAGGGGCTGGAGTAGTTTAATTGAGCACAGAATAATATATACAGGAAGTTCAGAGTCAAGTGTATGACTACTTGAATGTAAATTTTAACTAAATTTCATCACTAAAAGAACATTACAAATCTCAACTGCCTGGCAAGCTCACAGGTCAGTCATGAAAGGAAATAAAACAGCTGCACTAAAAAAAATTCAACGTATTTCCTTTTGTCTTTCCAGTAACTTTTACAAGAATTTATGAGGCAGAAGTTTCCTGCACATCTTCATGTTTTCTTTGCCTAGTGGGGAGACAGATGTTACATGGCCAAGAGAGACTGCAGTAATAACCCAGGACAGCTCAATGGCAACTCTGAAAGCAAATTTCAATGGGATGCTCTATAAAACCAACCAAACCCATTGCTGTCGAGTGGATTACGACTCTCAGCGACCTGATAAGACAGAGGAGAATCCTCACAGGATTTCCAAGGCTGTAATCTTTAAGGAAGCAGACTGTCACATCTTTCTCCCTCGGAGCCGCTGGTGAGTTCTAACTGCCAACCTTTCAGTTAACAGTTGAGCACTTAACCACTGCACCACCAGGACTCCTTAGGCTCTATAGTCAAACATTTTAACTGTATACTCTTGGGACTTGGGAAACATGATGAAAATCACCTAGTAGTACCTCCTCATTTTAAACATGAAGATTTTGAAGACCACAGAGGTTGAATGACTTGTCCAACATTAAAGGACAAACTGGTTGTAGAGCCAACGATGGGGGGAAAAAAAACCGTTGCCACTGAGTCGATTCCAACTCATAGCAACCCTATAGGACAGAGTAGAACTGCCTCATAGGGTTTCCAAAGAGCAGCTGGTGGATTTGAACTGCTGACCTTTTGGTTAGCAGTGAAGCTCTTAACCACTAAGCCACCAGGGCTCCAATGATAGTAAAGAAAAGTCTCCTAATTGTAGATCCACCACTCATCCGTCAGTTTTTCATACTGTGTGGCTTGCGTGTTGTTGTGATGCTCCAAGCTACGCCACCAGTATTTCAAACACCAGCAAGGCCACCCGTGGTGGACAGGTTTCAGTGGAGCCTCCCGACTAAGACAGAGTAGAAAAAAGGACCTGGCAATCTACTTCTAAAAACATTGGCCAGCGAAAACCTTATGAATAGTGAAACACTGTCTGATACAATGCCAGAAGATATGTGCATCAGGTTGGAAGGTACTCAGAATACAACTAGGGAAGAGCTGCCTCCTCACAGTAGAAACCAAAAACAAAACAAAAAATCACTGCTGTGAAGTCGATTCTGACTCATAGCGACCCTGTACAACAGAAGAGAACAGCCCCATGGGGTTTCCAAGGAGCAGCTGATGGATTCGAACTGCCGACCTTTTGGTTAACAGCCGAGCTCTTAACTACTGTGCCACCAGAGCTCCCCTCAAAGTAGAGTTGACCTTAATGACATAGATGGAATAAAGCTTTCAGGACCTTCATTTGCTGATGTGGCATGACTCAAATGAGAAGAAACAGCTGTAAAGATCCATTAATAATCAGAACGTGGAATGTACGAAGCCAGAATGAGCCTTAAAAGCAAGGATGGCGAGGCTTTATCTCACATACCTTGGACATGTTATCAGGAGGGACCAGTCCCTGGAGAAGGACGTCATGCTTGGTAAAGAAGAGGGTGAGCAAAAAAGAGGAAGACCCTCAATGAGATGAACTGACACAGTGGTTCCAACAATGGGCTCAAGCACAGCAAAGATTGTGAGAATGGCGCAGGACTGGGCAGTGTTTCATTCTGTTGTACACAGGGTCGCTATGAGTTGGAACTCGTAACAGCAACAACATATCACAGGGAACGATTCCATTGGTAGGCCCACATCAACTACATATCAAACACTTCTCATCAAATCACAATCAGATGAAAAACATATTCTGACTCTAAAGCAATGATTTAGACGTAAGTCCAGCCATAAATCTATGTTTTATGTGCAAAATCTTTCTAGAACTTACCTTAGGTATAATACTTGAGACAACATAGAAAATTATTTTTTTCTACTCATTATTATTTTTTTATTTCTTGTGAATTGCCACCTAATAAAGTTATTTGTAATAAACCAAGTTTTTGAATCTAGTTTAAATGCCTCGGAGGAAGTGTTGTAATGAAGTGGTATTCTAAAATATTTGAGATCAGAAGCGAAGTGGGATTACGGTAACACAGACAGTTCCTAGTATGAATAGACTTATCTTGAAATAAGTGAACTTTACACTGATTAAGCCAAAGGGATTGGTAAAGAGTTACTCAGGATCTTATTCCTGGAGAACAGAATACTGGATACTCTTTATTAAGAAGCTTTCAAGCTCTGATATACAGGGAAAAGTTTTAACTGTAAATTTTCATTACTTAGTCATGCTCTCGGAGGTGTTAAATATTTTCACATCAAAGGTCATTTTAAACATTTTCAGATGTGTGTCATCTCAACTGATGTTTCCACTTGCCCACTCCCAAGAAGGTACAGATATAATAACATGAATGAAACTAGACTTCCTTCCTACTCTGTGGATTCACTTAGGACCAATTACAATTATGTGACTCCTTTAAAGGTCCAACTCTGTTGAAGATGATTCCTCAGGTTCACAGTTTAGACGAAACAAGCAAGTTGTCAAGAAGCTACGAAGTGACCATTCCAGTGTTTGCAAAACAATCCACGGAGGAATTCTAGTTTTCAGAAGACAACCAGCGTGGATGTGTGAAGCACTGCTGATAAACTTAAATCGGCAGGGCTATGCTGCGTTAAGTTTTTAAAAATTGTGACGCTCGTCTGACAAAGTCTTGAGGGCAGTAACAAAGCCCTGCATCTTTGCTTCCAGTATTTGATTGTTGTGGTCATGCTAAGGAGTTCAATGTCACTAAGAAGCGGAAAGAAAAAGAAAATGGGGGTGAGGGAGGGAAGCAAACCAGAGAATGGGATAATTTTTGAACAACGGTGTAAAATCAAGCTAAGATAAAAAAAACCCTTTGCCGTCAAGTCAATTCTGACTTATAGTGACCCTAAGAAAAGGGGGGAAAAATACATTCAAGGGTAAATAGCACTCAAGCTGCTGCAGAGAATAAAAGGAGAGACGTCAATTGATTTAAATGTTACAATCTTGGTAACAAAAGATTTTGTTACTCTTTGTAACAAAACAGCTATTCTCTTTTGTTACAAAGAGTAACTCCAGGAATATGTTTGCATTATAAATAGGTGAAGAATTTTAACCAGGAATTTTTAAACTGATTATCATAGAATTATACGGACTTACAGCATGCATATTTCCATCTTAAAAGTATCTAATGACCAGAATTTATACAAATTTATGCTATGAAAGTATAAGTCATAGGCATTGGAACTTAATTAAAAACAAACAAAAAACTGGTGCATTCCTGTTTGCTACTGACCCTCTTCAGTTGCTGCTGTAATTGTTCCCTCATGGACTCAGGACAATTGTCCAGCTGGGTCTTCTGCTCGGAGTAAAGCTCCTGAAGCCTCTCTAGTTTTTCCCTTTCAGCATCAAGCTTTACCTTCTCCTGAAGTTCAGAAATCAGAAAATAGAAGAATAGAAATTATCTTCACACCCCAAGCACGTGTTAGTGAACATTTTCCAAGGGTAATACAAACAAATGTACACAAACACTAGGTATTCCATGAAACATACAGAAACATATCTTGTTAGTGACTAGGAAAAAGGAGTATAAGTGGAAGTAAAGACATGGTGGCCCCATTTCTGCATTGTCAAAATGTGGTCCACTTTGTTGGGTACTGACAATGACCTTCCCCAACTTCTTCCCTCCTGCCACAATGTTAAAAAAGCAGAAGGAGCAATAGGAATGTTGGTCAATGGTCAACAAAGAACAAAATAAATGCCAACAAAATCCATAACATAGCCTTGCAAAGAGTCACTTGTCAGAGAACCAGACAAAGGAAAGGGGCATTTACCCCAAGTACCATTATAGCCCAATTTGTTTAAGGCATTTATTAAGCAAGTTTTGGAAATTATTAAAATTCTCTTCTCAGGTCAGAGGAGTTCTGGAGCATTAGCTGATACTCTGGTCATATGAAACCATTCTAGTAGCTACTTGGCAAACTTTAGAGCTTAAGCAATAAGAAACTATGATCCCAAGGACAGCATCTAATTCAGAGGCTGAGAGCACTAGTAAAAATGTTACTACGCTGGCTGTTGTTGGAGAGAGTTCTGCAAGATTGGCAGAGAAGCAAGGGTAAGTTATATGAGGTAGCTTAGACACACAAAAAGTATGACATTTACTGAGGAGATATAGATGGCCCCATGATGACTAACCAAAAAAAAAAAACATGGACTGTGGAAAAAAAGATTAGAACATTCAGGAGTCAGAGAAAGAAGACAAAGGAGAAGATTACACTAAACCCCTCCAATGTCACACATGCCAACGTGCCCTGGACATTCTCCAGGATGTAACAGGCAAAACTGCAATCCAGTGATTACACAGCCTCACAAGTGCCACCTCTTAAACTGAGAAACAAAACTTCAATCTGTTTAGGGCCAGTCTTCCCAACTTGTTTTCCCTTTGTGATGCTCTGAACACTCAAAGCAAATTTTGGGTACATCCTCAGCCTAAACAAAAGCACGGTGCGAACCCTCTGTAAGGAAGATGGCCAACACTTTACTTTCCTAATTGCACTCTACGTGACCTGGTATAAATAAAACTGGTGTCTAAGTATATCATGGTAGATTTTTTTTTTTTTTAAAGATGTAGTTCTGAAACAGTCCTATAAAATTATACTTTTTTTTTTCCAGGCAATTACTCTGCTAACCAAAAGGTCAGGAGTTTGAATCTACCAAGTACTACTTGGAAACCCTATGGAGCAGTTTCACTCTGTCCTATAGGGTCGCTATGAGTCGGAATCTACTCACCAGCAATGGGGTAGGCAATTACCCTAACAGCAAGGCGTATGTAGCACCTTTTCATACGCAGATGGTAAAAATAGGAACCTAATCAACTTAAATGAATTAAAATGGAATGTCTTCTTTTAAATCATAGAACCTTAAGTTGAAAAGGGACCTGAGAAGACATCTACTCTGACCACCACTCCCCAGTTCAGGAAATTCTTGTGGCATATTTTGTGTTGGAATCCTTTCTGACTTCCAAAGACTGGAGCTTACTGCTTTTGGAGAAAGCCCATTCCACTGTAAGGCATTCCTAATTAATAGTTCTTTACATCGGAGTGAAGTCAGCCTCTCTCCCCTCATTAGTTCTAATTCTGTTCTCTAAGGGAATCACCTTGATGGAGTCTATGCCACTGTCCACTTGACAACCCTCTACAAGTGCTTTCCCCGTCTGCGCTTTCCTCCACCATGTTTTTCTTCACCACACCAAGAGCCTCAAGGTCTTAACTTAAAGTCAGTTCTTATCAGGGAGGTCAGTGTGGATGGAGCAGAGTGAGCTCAGGTCAGAGCGACAACAGAGGCTGGCTCATGCTGGTCCTGAGGTACACCAGGCACAACTGGAGGGTTATGGGACAAGGAATAACGTGATCTGATTTATGTTTTAAAGGAAACATGTTAGCTGCTGTGCATGGAGATCTGGGAGATTATTAGCAGGAATCCAGGTGAGAGATGATAGGTGCTTGAACCAGGATGGTGACAGTGGAGGAAGTATGAGATGGTCAGATTCCAGATACATTTTGAAGAATTTTCTGATGGGTCGGGTATGGATTGCGGGGGAAAAATGAGTCGAGGTTAAACAACCAAAAGATTCTACTTGCCATCATCTGATACGAAATAGGGCAGCTTTGGGGCCAAACATTGTTTTAAACATACTAAATTTGAGATGTCTACTAGACATCCAAGTGGACATGCTGAGTTTGAAACGGTCATATTGCTCTATAAGTGTGAAAAACAGCAGTCTTCTGCCCCAAGCATCCCATCTTAATTTCCTGATCCTGAGAAATAATCACTTTCATCTTTTCTAGTGGTTTCTTCTGTTACTTCCATATTTCAAATATCATGCTGTATTAGTCAGGTTATGTTTTGGTAACAAACTCAGAAATCTCAGTGACTTAACACAGCACAGATTTCTCTCTCACTGCTTCAAAGTCCAACGTGGGCAGTATCTGGAAAGTAAAATAGGGCTGAAGGAGGACAAAAGGAATCTCCACCATCAAAAAAAAAAAAAAAACAAAAACTACAACAACAACACTTTTAACTGATAAATCAATTCATCAGCTACCTGCTCTTTCCTGGACACAATCTTTTTCTCTTCTGAAGTAGCAAGAACCTGCTTACTGATGCTAGTTTGTTTGTATCAGAAATTCTGCTACTCTGAGCATCTCTTTTGTGTCCTTTATAATGATTAACGTGGTAGAAGGCACCAAAGATTGTGAACTCGTCCCCTTTCTTAGAGGAGACAGTGCAGTTAAATGTAGTTAGAGGTTCTGGGATGGTATCTGTGTAGTTCTCTCTAGGGCTGAGCCATTTGCCTTCAATTTCCTAAAATCTGCCCACTTAAAAGCCCTAAATGCTTTTTATTTTCACTTGTAGTGAATAGGCTGTAAGTAAATATATCTGAGTTTGTTTTATATTATCTAACAATATTACAACACTGAACACCTCACTTGAATTTTGAATAAATTTGAAAGTAACTGATTATTTTTGTGTGAATAGTTTCTTCGGGTCTCAAGCTGAATTCATGACTATAACCACAATAAGAAGGAAAGGAGAATGTTTCAGAGTCATTTTTTTCTTTCTATTTGAATATCTAATTAATAAAGATTAATTTTTATTGTGCTTTATGTGGAAGTTTACAGCTCAAGTCAATTTCTCATGCAAAAATTCACACACATATTGCTTTGTGACATTAGCTGCAATCCCCACAATGCAACAGCACACTCCTCCTAAAATTATACTTACTATAATTTATTTAAGGAGCCCTGGTGGTGCAATCGTTAAGCACTGGGTTGCTAACCATAAAGGTCAGTGGCTCAAACCCACCAGTGGCTCTGCCGAAGAAAAAACCTGGCAATCTGCTCCCATAAAGACTACAGACTAGGAAATCCTATGGGATAGTTCTACTCTGTCATATAGGATCCGTATGAGTCGGAATTGACTCGATGGCATGCAACAACAGCAATTTATTTATCTGAACGGCCTTGATTTCTTGTGTAAAGATATAGATTTAGATTCTTTAAAAGACGTTGTGGTTTAAATTTAAAACTATACGACATTAATATCTATACCAGTTCGAGTCTCTACTTTCTGCTTAAACTTTAAAATTTCATGGACAGTTTAGTAATATATATTCAGATTTATATATGCATTTTTTCTCAAAATGTTTAAATCCAGAAGTCAAACTGAGAATAGAACTAAATTATTAACATAAACTTGCCTGTCGATTTCTCTTTCCTGGCTCCAGAACAATTTTGCAAATTCAGAATCTAAAATCCCATCACATCTCAAACTTAATTTGCATTTTCAGAAAGGGACATGTCTTCTTTAACACAGCCTTCAAGATGCATACATATATCAGAAATTCTCAAGTCTTGCTAAGGGCTGAAGACATCTCAGTTCTATCACTAAAGTTTATACTTCTCCCATATCCATTTCAAAAATATGAGACTACTCTGGTCTTCTCTCATGCACACTTATCATATTTTTAATTACCGCAGGATTAGAACTAGAAGAGATCTCCTTTGCTTTCTATGCCATCCTTAACTAACTCCTTCAACCTTAATCATTTCTTAACAAGCAGAGGGTGGTGATATTTTTAATAATCTGTTTTAATAATCTGGCATTTTAATAATTCTGGCTGAAAAATGGCAGAACAGCTACTTAATGTAGGGCAGGGTATTACTTCAACACCTTTTGCTTTTAGGAAACAAAAGAAAGTGAAAATAGCATTCCTACTCCACATTTCAATCTAAAATGATTCTGCAACAACTTAAACTTCAGCAGAATATAAAGAAAATGTCCTCAATCTGTAAGGGCATGTTAGCTCCCTGGACACACCTACTATGCAGGAGCTGGAGGGGGCAACGGCATCACTACAGAAAAAGGGAGACCCACGTGTTCATCCGCAGTGAAACGATGCCAGGAAGACAGGTCAGCTTTAGCCTCTAGTTTCAGAATTAATATTTTTCCCCTAAATAAAACCAGCAATACACACTGTTGTCTTTTGGCTAAGAAAATGTGTTATTTCCTTATCTCTGGATTAAAGATGGCCCCATTTACATAGCAAAATAATTTTATCTAAAAAAAAAAAGTTCTATTTCTAGATACTGTACTGCCAAACCTTGCAGCAATTCTAGTTCAAAAAAGAAAGTTTAAAAAAAAAAGAAAACTATTCATTCCAGTTCAATGACTTATGTCCAATGCCCTAAAATTTAAAGTTATATTTGCTAGGAAACATAGACACAGTATTTGATAATATGGAAAGGAACTGGTCTGAAACACAGGTTTCAAATCTGAAAAAATCACCAAACTATTCCTCAGGTGCTCTCAAACTTTACTTATTGATAATAACAAGCATAGATAAACAACTAATAAAAAAAAACCTTGTGTTTATGTACTGCCTTCCTTCTGAAGTTTTCAAAACATTCTGCAATTCCATACAAGGGGGAAGTTAGAAGGATTATGCAAGCTGGCAGCATCAGAGCCTTCTGCAGCGTCTCTGTGGTTTATCATTGCCTTTGTGACCACTGTCTGCATCTCAGAACTGAAGCTCAGAGGGGCCAAAGCTCCAGGAAAGGAAGTAGAGGGAAGGATGAAAAAAGGACTAGTGGCAGGTGGACCGGGCTATAAATCACAGAGGGCCACAGAGGTAACAACACCCCTGCAAGAAGCCAGGAGACTCATCTGAACCAGAAAGAAATGAATACTCCTCTCTACTATTTATTGTCCAGGAAGTTTTCAAAGGAAAATTAACTCTAGGCAAGCAGTTAATTTGAGCTGAAAGTATCAACTTCTACAGTGAAGGTAAAATAAATTGATGAACAAAATTAATAGCATTTGAGGGTTTGGGGATTCTTGCTTTTTACATGTAAAACATTAAAACTGAGTGTTACTCCCCCCCATCAAGATTTAAACTGGTAAACTCACCTAGTCTAATTAAAAAAAACAAACAAAAGTAAACCCGTTTCCGTCAACTCAATTCCAACTCATAGAGACCTTATAGGACAGAGCAGAACTGCCCCATAGGGTTTCCAAGGTTTGGCTGGTGGATTCAAACTGCCAATCTGTTGGGTAGTAGCCAAGCTCTCGACCACTGCGCCACCAGCTCTCTCCTAGTCTACTTATTACAGGCATAATGATATTTTCCAAACCCCACACTGGACAGAACAAAACTTCTGTTTTTGTTTAAGATTTATTTTTAGCAAGTGAATTGAAATCTGTTTTTAATAAAATTAACAAAGTTCACTTTGTTAAAAAAATAAGATTACAAGGAAAACCCAGGATATACAAGGAAGCATTTTAAAAGGCAAGAACAGAATGTGTCTTCTCTGGAGACACAGCTACTTCTGTTAGCAGTGTTTTCACATTAACTTGTCTTCTCTCCATGTACTAACGAAATCCAGTCAGATCACAAATTCATTGCTAGATCTATTTAACACAGAGTGTATACACAGTCGAAGATAAAGCACTCATGGCTAAATTAAAATAGAAATCTGTATATGAAATTGGGCCTATATTTATATCCAAAATGAATTATTCATTTACCCACTCAATAACTATTTATAAAGGTACTAGAGGTAGAGAGAGGCAGTAGTGGTTCAGTGGTAGAATCCTGACCTTCCATGCGGGAGACCCAGGTTCAATTCCCAGTCAATGAACCCCATACACAACCACCACCCCATCTGTCACGCTTGTGTATTGCTATGATGCTGAACCGGCCTCAACAGAGCTAAGACAGACTAGGAAGAAAGGCCTGGTGATCTACTTCCAAAAATTAACCAATGAAAAGCCTACAGATCACAATGGTCCAATCCAAAATCATTGATGGGGATCACACAGGACTGGACAGCGTTTGGTCTGTTGTGCATGGGGTCACCATGGGTCATGGGCAGCTCACAACAACAAGAGAGGAAGAGAAAAGAGGGAATTTGATGAAGACTCACAAAGCACAGGTCACTTAGCTCTGTGGCCCTCCACCCTGACTGTGCATTAGAATAATCTAGGTGAGCTTTTAAACATACTGCTTCCCAGGCCCCAATTTAGTCAGAAATCTAGGGGCATAAGGCCTTGGGATTGATAGCTTTAAAAACTTCTCTAGGTATTTGTCTGAAGCAAAAGAGAAAGAAGGAACCCCGAGAATCAGATAAGGAACCGGACTACAGGACCAACTGTCTCCATGAACCATGCTTCCTCTACCTTGAGACCAGAAGACCTAGATGGTGCCTGGCTACCGCTACTGAATGTTCTGGTCAGGGTCACAATAGATGGATTCTGATAGAAAGGGAGAAAAATGTGGAACAGAACTTCAAATTCTGAAAGAATTCTGACTTACTGGACCCACTAAGACTGGAGGAATCCCCAAGGCTGTTGCCCTGAGATACTGTAAACCTTGAACTGAAAGTATCCCCTGAAGTCACCTTTTAACTAAATAGCAGTTAGGTCAAAAAGTAAGGAATATCATCCTTGAGTACTGCACTCTTTCAAAAAATTATGGACATGAGACCAAATGGACAATAGTTACTCTAAAGCATGGATAAGAAGGTTGTCGGGGGGTGAGGGTGGGGAGGGCAGGAGACTAAGTTAATGAGAATGAAACAACTAGAACGGAAATAACACGAATGTTGACACAATGTGAAGAATGTAACCAATGTCAACGAACAGTATGTGTAGAAATCGTTGAATGGGAACCTGTTTTGCTGTGTATACTTTCACCAAAAATAAAATAAAATTAAAAAAGAAATACAAATCAAAAAAAAAAAAAAAAAACTCTCTAGGTGATTCTAATATGCAGCCAGAGTTGAGAACCACTGATTTAGTCACCCAGGATTACGTACAAGCAAAGATAATCAACAATTTGATTTTTCTAATGAAGACACAGGGCATTAATACAGGATCCACCAAAAATTGTTCTTAAAATACCTGGTCTTCATACCTTTACTTCATGGTTAAAAAGGCCTCTCTTTCAAGTAACATACCAATTGTAAAGGAGGGATGGGATGACACCCAGAGCACATCTAAAAATCTCTAATGGAGGAAAGAGCCTTCTTCAGCTGTGAGAAGATACGATGCTTTTTAACTTCTCAGTGAAGTAGGTGGTGAGGTCTTCTCAGTGCCAGTGGGAGAAAAGTGGGCCAGAGGTTTGAGCAGAGGGAAGTATGAAATTGTTGGGTCATAAAATGATAGAAGAAGCTTATTTGAGAAACACAGCAGTGCTGCCAAGCAACGGTGGGTCTCTATTGAGTTAGAGTGTCAATAACATGTAGTAACACCATTCAAGACCTAGTCCTGTTTCTGTTTCTATTTCCCTTATTCTACTCTGGAGTCGCTCACCCAGAAGTGGTTTCTGCCATTTTTCACACCTTATGATGACAGACAATAATCCCACCTTCTAAGACCAACTAATCCTCTAACAGCTGCACGAGCTGGCTCCATAATTCAAACTGCCAGCAGGCCCCCTCCTATGGATAGCCTTCTTCGAGCCACCAAAACAGTAACAGGAAAGATGGAGATGGCCTCCCCGGTTGGGTCTTCCATGTTCCTGGACTTCCACCCCTACCTGAGGCCTAAAGAATATAACACAGCTTTTCCTGCGAAGTGAGATTTAGCACTGACTTGACTTGCTTCACTTTGTGTAGACTTTGATACTAACGACAGTTAGACAAATAGAATGTATAGGCTGTGCAGTATGTGGGCCACACAAAGATAAACAACTGCATGCGTGAGGAAGGCGGATGGACTCACAGGGAACATATCTCATCCTCTGTCCTGAAAGTTTTCCACTATGACATAAATAGTATAATACTAACGAGTATCAAAACAAGACATCTGACGTCTCCAACGAAAGTTGTTTGCTGTATCAAGCAGTGCAGGATCTCTGAAAAGCATAAGCTGTTAACTGGATCCTCCTATACAGCAAAATTAGAAAGTGAATCCTTTACTTGGTTTTGAGTTTTTAAAGAAAAGTATACTTACTACCCAAAAAGATTCTTTACTCTTTTAAAGTCTGGAGATAGAATGAGTATTCATAAAATTGAATACGCAAAAGCCATGCAGTTTAATTTTGACAAACAGGCAACCAAAAAAACCAATGTGTAACTTTTAACTTGACTTCCATTTCCCACATCATTTTGAGCTCATTCTCTGGCACCAAGATCACATGCCCTTATTTATAGATCTTGAACAAAGAAGGGCCTAAAAAGGAAGCCACATTCAGCAGAAATTCTTTGCACACATTACCACTAGAACTTACTTAAGTTGAAACTTTTTTTCCTTTTCTTAGCTCAGTGGAGAACACGGCAAACAGGGAAGAATGTGGCAAAGCTCATTTGCTTTTTCTTTCCTAAACTGGAATTTTATTTATTTATTTATTTGGTTTAATTCAGCTAAAACTAACTCCAAATGGGAAAGGAGAGTGATTCATAGTATTTACCAAAGAGAAAATTAATAAACAGACGAAAAACCCAACTACCACCCTGAACTCTAAGAACTGCTAGTAATATTTCATACTCTCCCTAACAGACGTCAGCTAACATTCAGGCTGTGGCCTGAAATGTGGAATAAAGCCTTTTTCAGGGTAAGTGTCAGCTGTGTTTCACAGGCAGTTTGCATTTGGCAGTGTGTGAAGACCCTCCCAAAACATCAATGCATTTTTCAAAGAGCAGTGCACTTGCATTGAAGACAATGACAAGGCAAGACAGATGAGATGAATGGCTCCCATTCATCTTTTTAATAAACAGAAACATGAAAAGAAACGAGGCAACCATATCTGAATATGCTTAAGCCATCCCTGCAGGGGACCAGCAGTAAAGACAGAAAAGCTAGTGGAAAAAAGCACTTCATTCGTCTTGAGGATGATAAGCTGTCATGAACATAGGCCCACAAATGATACACACTCTGCTGTATCAGCACCTGCTGCTCAGTACCTCACAGTTCTTCACCTGTGACAACTCACCTGATCTGGCGACTTTTCTCTACTGCCACTGTCACCAGGAACATGACACGCAAATCAAAAATCATGGTAATTACACTCAACATTTAAATTCAAACGGCACCACCTCTTTGCCATAAAGGTTGCATTCAAATATGAGTTTACCTTGGTCTTTTCACCAACAATGTTCTTTTCCAGTTCTGCTATTTTCTGGTTTAGATGATCCAAAATCTCTTTCTCCTTCATAAGTTCAGTTGTTTCAGATTTCTGTTCTCCATCCAAAAGTGCACATTCCATATCCAACTGACAATACACAACAGAGTTCAGAAATGTTTTCCATTCTGAGAAATTCTCACTACCTACTTTAGAGACGCATTTTTAGTAGCTACAAATTTCAAAAAATACTACTGTGTCAGTCAGTATCTTGGGGCCTAGAGAACACACCAGAGAGTCATATGAAACTCAGGGCTTACAGAAGAAAGCCAGAGAAACCAGAACACAATTGCTAAGAAAGTTAATTATCACCAAATTTTTCTATTATAACTCCTTTTCTGACTACTTCTCAGTGATATTTTGCCTATTTACTTAGACTCAGGCTCAAGCTTGAACCATCCTGGGAGCAGCTATGTCTCTCTTTATCTCTAGACCAAGAAAAGTGAAAGTTTCACCAAGCCCAGCATTCAAGGCCTGCATTCCTAGCAGTGCCAGCGGGAGGGGCTTCCAAGGTCTGTGAGTAAGACGACAAGTGGGCAGTTCCCTTACCCTGACAGGGCTGTCCACATCATCTGTGATTATAGACATGCAGGTCCCCCTAGACAGAATTATTTGCTCCTTTTCACTCCATGGAAGTAACATAAGAATTGCCACTAACTTTCTTCTGTTACAGTGATAAAATGTGTGTCTGTTGCCTTTCTAGTCTGCAAACCTATAGAAAGCTGAGTCTATGTTTGAGTTACGTATGCATCTCTCCTGAGTGTCAGCACAATGTCTGATTCACAGTAAGCATGCTCAGAAAAGGTTTGTTTCATTTGAACTCAAACACCCAACTCCAGGGTCCCTCAGCTGACAGACCTTGTGGGACAAGCCAGCAAGTATACATTAGTTAAGACCAATCCAGGTATACATAAAGTACATTAAAGATGGCTTGGCATACAACTCAACAATAAAAAGACAAACAACCCAGTCAAAAAAATGTGCAAAGGACATGAAGATATACAAATAGCTAATAAACACATGAAAAGATGCTCAACACCATTAGTCATTAGGGAAATGCAAATTAAAACCACAATGAGATATCATGTCATATCCACTAAGATGGCCGTGTTAAAAAAAAAAACTGGTGTTGGTGAAGATGTGGACAAATAGGAACCCTCATCTATTGCTGGTGGGAATGTAAAATAGCTTAGACATTGTGGAAAACAATCTGATGGTTTCTCAAACAGTTAAACATAGAATTACTATATGATCCAGCAGTTCCACTCCCAGGTATATACCCAAAAGAATGGAAAACAGAAACACAAACAGACATATGTACACCAATGTTCATTGCAGCACTATGCACAATAGTCGAAAGACGGAAACAGCCTAAATACCCAACAATAAATGGATGGATAAACAAAATGTGGTATATACATACAATGGAATATTACTCAGCAATAGAGAAATGAAGTTGTGATACATGCTATGACATGGATGAACCTCATAAACATCATGCTGAGTGAAATAAGTCAGTCACAAAAGGACAAATATTTTATGATTCCGCTAATATGAAATAATCTAGAACAGGCAAACGTATACAGACCTAAGGAGGGAGAAAAGGGGACTCTGCTTAGGAGACACTGAGCTTCTGGTAAGGGTAATGGAAAAAGCTGGAAGTGGATCATGATGACGGTGGCAAAACATGATGAAAAAAATTAATGTCACTAAATTATACATGGGAAGAACGTTGAAATGGCGAATGTCTGGTTACATCCCTAAAAAACACAATTTTAAAAAACGGCTTAACATGTTTATCTCACCCAATTTCCAAAAAAAGAAAGAAAGAAATGTAAAAAAAAATGGCACTTGTACCCTTCACATGGTACCCATTCAAGAACTGTTTGCTCATGTTGACAGCTATGGATTTAGCCTACAAGGCCAGTGCCCTCATGAGAGTCAATATTTTTAAATTAAAGGAAAGAAAGAAAATGGAGAGGCGGGAAAGAGTGAACTTGTGGCTTATACCTCTCTGGAAGATTCATCCATCTGGTCATTTATATCTTTGATTTTTTGTTTGAGTTCCTCGAGGTTGTTCAAAATTATAATCCTGGACTCTTCCATTGCAGCCAACTCCTGTGTCCTCTGTTCTTCACTTACGCTCTCTGGGGTCTGTGATTAATCAACACAGTAAAGAATTATTCACATTTCCATTGCAATAGTTCCCAATTTATAAACCAGCCACAGGCCTAGTATTTCACAACCTCCATGGCCATCTGGATTCTAAAAGCATTCCTGCGATTGTTTAGTTGGAAAATCTAAATGCATTTTCCCATGGAGACAATGTCACACTCTGCAGTTAGGTTCTTAGGTTAGCTCATACAACCAATTTAATTCACAAATGTATATTTGTGTTCTACAGATGAGGAAGCTGTGGTCCACAGAGACTGAAGTAATTTCTCCAAGGTAGAGATATGCAGATAACACAACCTTGCTTGCTGAAAGCAAAGAGAACTTTAAGTACTTACTAATGAAGATCAAAGACCACAGCCTTCAGTATGGATTACACCTCGACATAAAAAAAATCACAAAAAACCTCACAACTGGACCAATAAGCAATATCATAATAAACGGAGAAAGACTGAAGATGTCAAGGGTTTCATTTTACTTGGATCCACAATCAACACCCATGGAAGCAGCCATCAAGAAATCAAACGGTGCACTGCATTGGGCAAATCTGCTGCAAAAGACCTCTTTAAAGTGTTGAAAAATAAAGATATTCTTTGACTAAGGTGTGCCTGACCCAAGCTGTGGTACTTTCAATCACCTCACATGCATGAAAAGCTGAACAATGAATAAGGAAGATCGAAGGAGAATCAACGTCTTTGAATCACTGTTGGTGAAGAATATTGAATACACCATGGACTGCCAAAAGAACAAACAAATTTGTCTTGGTAGAAATACAGCCAGAATGCTCCTTAGAAGAGAGGATGGTGAGACTTCGTCTCACTTACTTTGGACATGTTAACAGAAAGGACTAGTCCCTGGAAAAGGACATCATGCTTGGTAAGATAGAGGGTCAGCGAAAAAGAGGAAGACCCTCAATGAGATGGACTGACACAATGGCTGCAACAATGGGCACAAGCATAACAACGATTGTGAGGATGGCACAGGACCAGGCAGTGTTTCTTTCTGTTGTACATAGGGTCACTGTGAGTTGGAACCAACTCAGTGGCACCTAACAACAGCAGAGAAAGTTCAGCAGTGTAGAACTAGAACGTAGACAGGGATCTGTTGGGCACGAGACTACCTTCATTACAACCTCCATATTGTCTCTCATTTCCAAATGAGTAAATCTCTTTTCAAATTCTCTTGAATCTCTAGCAGTAGTATTGGTTCCCACTGCTAGGATTATCTGCAAATGAGCATTCAAGCTTATTATTTCCTTCTCAACACAAAGTTGAAGAGCAAGGACACACTGTGCTTGGCCCTGTCTCACTGAAATGTTCCACAAAGTAAAGAACCAGAAAAATACAAGCTTTATCATTTTGGTGACCCTCAAAATAATTTAAGAACTACACACTTAATATTAAGTTAATTCATATTTCACTTTTCGCTAGTGTACTGCTGTCTTTGTCCTGGAAGACCTTGTTCCTATACAATGTTTAAGACACTAGTGGGGCCACATGGACATTTGTGATCTGAAGCAGGACAATGGCCACCATTTGTAAAATTATTTCATGGAACAGCTGAGTTCCCTGGAATTAACAAGAAAGAAATTAAATGAAAGAGGGCATACTTATACCCATAACCAGAGTACGACAAATGTCCAGGGAAGAAAAGAATATTGTCACTCATATCCACTGCCAAAATTGGACTGTCTATTGTTTGAGAGCCCCTCTTAAACCCCCATGAGGTTACCCTGAGTCAGAATGGACTTGACAGCAGCTGGTTTTACTGAGTAAGAAAAGAATATAGTGATCTGAAAATTGTCTCTTCTTTAAAGAATTTCAGTCTAGTACCTTAGATATCATCTGATGGCGGCCAATATTTCTGTTAAGTCAAGTGTTTTAAATTTAAGGAATGCCAATATTGGCATATTATTTATTTAATTTTTATCTTGTAAAGAAGTAATTTTTTTGGATCAGTAAGTCAATAATTACACAATTTCCCAACTGGAAACTGAAAAAAGCAGCCCATATAAGTAAATTATTGAAGATGATTCACTAATTACTGAAAGGAATATTCAAATTAAACACAGAAACCATTAAAATTTAGTGCACCTCACAAAACTCACTGAATTTATTTTACAATCCCAGTAATTTCAAGATATCCATCATATTGTATACTTCATTTTTACCCTACTTTGCTACTCCTTAAGGAGCTTAGACAACTGACAAGTATCTCGGGTTTGTTAGAACAAAGGTATGCAGCCTCCCAAGTTTTGACATTTAGCTTTTTAATTGTCATCTTAAGTCCAATGTCTTATCGACTAATAAAACAACTGCTGAACTTTTCATCACAGACAATGAATCCCACTGTCCTAATACTTAGGTGCCTGCTTTAGGCCATGAGGAATGCCTGTCATAGTGAATGGCATTCCAAAATCACTGCCAAGTAATCCTAACAGGAAGGCCTCACAAGGGCCAGTATCCTGTTGGGTCAATGGTGAGAGTACACATTAGGTTTCAACTTCCAATGTGGTTTAAAAATATTTCTCCCACTGGTGGGAGCAGAGTATTAATAAAGACAACAACTGAACAATCTGCAAAACTACAAACTTTATAAGTAAGTAGGGGATGAAGACAGGCAACAGTAGAAATTATAAGGATCTGCAACTGACTGGAAGAGATCCATATTCATACTCATTCCAAAGAAAGGCAATCCAACAGAATGTGCAAATGATCACATAATACCATTAATATCACATGCAAGTAAAATTTTGCTGAAGATAATTCAAAAAATGGTTACAGCAGAACATCAACAGGGAACTGCCAGAATAACAAATTATGGATAACACTGGGAAGAATGGGAATTCCAGAACACTTAATTGTGCTCATGTGGAACCTGTGCATAGACCAAGAGGCAGTCATTTGAAGAGAACAAGGGGATACTGCGTGGTTTAAAATCCAGAAAGCTGTGCATCAGGATTGTGTCCTTTTACCATACTTATTCAATCTGTACACTGAGTAAATAACCCGAGAAACTGGACTATATGAAGAAGAACGGGTCATCAGGATTGGAGGAAGACTCATTAACAACCTGGGATATGCAAAAGACACAACCTTGCTTGCTAAAAATGAAGAGAAATTGAAGCACTTACTAATGAAGATCAAAGACTACAGCCTTCAGTATGGATTACACCTCAACATAAAAATAAAAGTCCTTACAACTGAATCAATAAGTAACACCATGATAAACAGAGAAAAGATTGAAGTTGTCAAGGATTTCATTTTACTTGGATCCACAATCAACACCCATGGAAGCAGCAGTTAAGAAACCAAACGACACATTGCATTGAGCAGATCTGCTGCAAAAGACCTCTTTAAAGTGTTAAAAAAGCAAAGATGTCACCTCGAGAACTAAGGCGTGCCTGACCAACCCATGGTTGTGCGACTGTGCATGCGATCGCCTCATATGCATGTGAAAGCTAGACAATGAACAAGGAAGAGAAGATGGAAGAAGAATTGATGCATTTGAATTATGGTGTTGGCAAAGAATATTGAATATACCGTGGACTGCCAGAACGAACAAATCTGTCTTAGAAGAAGTACAGCCAGAATGCGTCTTAGAAGTGAGGATGTCAAGACTTCATCTCACATACTTTGGACGTTATCCTGGAGAAGGACATCATGCTTGGTAAAGTACAGGGTCAGGGAAAAAGAGAAGACCCTCAACTCGATAGACTGACCCAGTGGCTAGAACAGTGGGCTCAAACATACCCACAGCACGACTGTAAGGATGGCACAGGACTGGGCAGTATTTCTTTCTGTTGGACACAGGGTGACTGTGAGTTAGAACTGACTGGACGGCACCCAATGACAGCAAGAACATAAGGATATGCATAACCGAAGTCTTTAGAAAACTTATCACAAAAAGTGTCGGTATCTAATAACAGACTAAGAGGCTATTTTTCGCAATAAATGCCATCTAGGAAATGACTGTGTTTTTTCTTTATAAAATGCAAAATCTTTAAGAGGCAGCCTAAATCTCTGATTTGTAATAGGATGGGGTGAGGATACTGTAATCTCATTTATTAACCAAAGAAGAAAATCAAATAGAAAACAGAGGATATGTTATCCATTAAATAAGCTTTGGTTTTATGGTGACAGATAAAGTTGAAAATTTTAAATGTATTCCCTTCATTTCATCTGGTATTTTCTCACAATAGGAGTCCCTCGGTGGTATGAATGGTTAATACACTTGGCTGCTAACCAAACGATTGGAGGGTTAAGTCCACCCCATGGCACCTTAGAAGAAAGGCCCGGAGATCTACGTCTAAAAAATCAGGCACTGAAAACCCTGTAAAGCACAGTTCTACTCTAACACACATGGAGTTGGAATACACTGCAAAGCAACCGTTTCTCACAGGAGTGGGCAGGATTCCACTGACGGAGTGATACATTTTAATAAGCACTTTACACCTCCATGTGCATACCCAAATACGCCATCACTGGGATAACAATCCACACAGAGAAAGGGGAGAGAGGGTGGGTTGAGACACTTTCCTCCTGTCCTTTTTTTGGGCAGATATCTTCTTATAGACCTTGTGCATCCAAAGGAGGTGGGGGTGCAGGGACTTTATGCGACAGGTAGAATAATTACTCAAAAAGAGAAGTGTGAACTACGCTAAAGTCAGGTAAGTGGTAGGTTCAGAAAGAGCCATTAAATTTAGCAAACTTCCGTACACGTAGAAATTTTTGAAGTGGTGTATCTCTGGCTATATATATATTTTCACCAAAAAAGAAAAAAGGTCCTCCAAGGTCGAGAAGAGAGAGGGTTGACATGTTGTGGGGTTGTTAACCAACGTCATAAAACAATATGCGTACTGACTATGCAATGAGAAAATATTTGTTCTGTAAACCTTCACCGAAAGTACAATTAAAAAAAAAAACTGGAAAAAAAATTAGCAAACTTCCAAGTTCATTCACTTCTTTTACTGTTAGGTAAAA